GGGAATCCTTTTTCGAGATTTCGTTCCGTCTTGGATTTGGAACGGGACGAGAGATGACAGTTTGTTGCCCGGAACGGGCAACCAGACGAACCAGAAACTGTATAGCGGCATTAATCACGGTAAAGGTAAAAACGACTAGCGACACCGAACAGGACACTGAAAGCGATGCGTTTTAAATGAAAATAGCCGATCGACGAACAATAGACGTTTCTATTTAGTTCTGGAAATGGAAAACGAGCTCTTCGAGATACGCATCGTGGATCCTTTCAACTTTCTGCTACGTGTCGAGCCTTGTCTTCTTCTTTTCACCGTCTCTCCGAGCTGAAGAATACTTTTTGTCTCTTTTTCTGGACGATGAATTCAACGCCGAGAAGGAACTGAGTAAAAATGAAATTATATAGGATGGAGTATAGTTTAAAGTGAATTTATTTAAACTGAAAATATTAAAAATGAGTGAAATTTTAATCCTTAAATATTATTTATCACAAAATAATATCTGCACAATTTGGTATTCTTTTATTTTATTTTGTTATTCTATTATGTAAATTTTTTACTGTCTTTTCTTCAGTATTAAAATATTCTGAGCTTTCTTGTGTTAATTCTTGGTAAGTTACTGTTGGAAAATTGAACGGTAATGTTCCTTCGAATTTAAAAAAACAATTTCATTTCACCCTCAAAAATTCGACATTTCACATTCCACGAAGAAATCATTCCTCATTCTCGAATGAGTCAAAACAGCAAAATAATTGTCTCATACAAGCACCCTTTCCTTTTCTCCACAGCACCAAAATTATTCAGCACTTTCCGTAAAAAAAGCAACACTATACAACGAATTTACAGGACATATTAATATCCATCGATAAAATTTCCACGTCAATATCAATTACCATCGTTCTAAAAAGAATCCAGCGTCCTCACAAGCCGTTCAAATCTCCTGACAGTCGACGTGCACAATAGTCCACACTTTTAAGCCTCAAACAAAGCTGCGGCACGATCTTCGTGCAGATCTTCCTCCGTCCATTCATTCGAACAACCAGAACGAAGAAGCACGCGCGCGGGAAACATCGGATGTCCGTTATTATGCAGGAAGAGTGAACGTCTTGACGTGCTGTCAATCGGTTCATTTAACCAAGCCAATTCTCTCTTCTTCACGTGTTCCTCTCCCTCTCTCTGCTGTAAAATTTCCCCTTTTTAGAGGGGTCTCATTAAAGGCCGATGAACAACGAGAAATAACGAACTCGCGACAGGTGCCTGCCTTCGTATCTGACCAGATAAACTGAAATTCGAGAATGAAGCCTTTGCTATCGAGAGAGAAAGAGAGAGAGGGGGGTTAATTCTTGGTCGAATGACGTTGCATGAATCGCGGAATGCAGTACTCTGCTTGGTTCTAATCTTCTCATCCAACTCGTGCACGCTGGATTCCATCGAAGACACTTTACGATCGATTAAGTACCACGCTAGTGATGGATCACGTATACGAGAATAGGGGACGTCGGTGAGTTCATGATTGAATAGTTATTTATCGTGGATAGGCTAGTCAGGATGGTCGGTTCCAGTTGTGCGCGGATCATGCGGCTTTTTCAATCGAGACTTCGACAAAAGCATTGCCGATGCTCCGATCAGATTGTGTTAAGTAAGGATGCTTGGACTGTGTGAGATTTGTGGGCGAGTGGTGATCTTTTGTGGGTGCGGTGGTGCAATTTTTGTGGTACTTTTCATTCATAATTGTTTTACGATGGTACAAAAACTGTTACCAGTGAGAAAAGTAGTATCAATGTCTTTTTTTTTGTAGTTAAGAATGTAAAATACAGGTCAAACTAGGTTTAATTGCCTTTTTGTACCAGTAGTGTTAAACGGGTAAAGGGTTAAGTCAAAGGATTTGATAATTTTAATCAGTCATTGAGTCACGGTCAATTTCAGTGATTTTTTAAGTAAGTTCGATTGAGAATTTTTGTTACATTCATTGGTAAATGAGTTAAAGTATCTTTTGATATATCGTATTGCATACTGAGGATTGAATTTTACCGGAAGAATAGATTTATGCATCTTAGAACGATAAATTATTGCAAAGAAACGAAAAAATTAAATTTCACTTGGTAATGTAAATTCATAAACCTGCTATTTAATTATATTCTAGCAGAGGAACAAATTTGCATATCCTTGTACATATTACTAGAATAATAAATCATTGAGAAAAAGAAGACAAATTCAATTTCACTCTACAATGTAAATTCGTAAACCTGCTGCTTATCTATATTCTACCAGAAGAAGAAATTTACACATCCTTGTACGCGTTAGTAGAATGATAAATCATCGAGGAAACGCAGAAAAATTAAATTTTATTCTACCGTACAATTTCTAAATACCTATTACGTATACTTGAAACAAAAAATTGTGGGATCGGGGCGTCCGGCTTATAAAGTGCAAAAACAAGAAAAAATATAAAGTACGTTATTAGCGTAGCGCACAGAGTCTCCGCTTGCCGATCTGGGGGTCGCGAGTTCGATTCTCGGTTGAGTCCTTCAAAATTTTTTCGGCTCCTACAATAACAACTATATTTGAAATGTATCACAAACATTTCAACTGAATAACAACACGTTAGAAATTCAATTATCATTCCGATGTTTCAAACAGTACGAATACTACTGCCACCCATTCTTCTCTAAATATTCGAAAAATCAGAATATTTCAACACCGAAAAAGGAAAAAAAATCCTCAAATGTAGCTTCCTAGAATTCCTAGCACAGAAAATACTCGACTATTCAACACGGAACGAGGAACAAAATTCGCGAGTAAGCAGAGTTGGATAGTTCAAACTTCACGGCGAGATCGTATGAGCGGAACAACAGATATCTATACGGATTGTGGCCGGTTTCGTTATCCGCCGGAGCCTTATGATCTCGCCCGAAACAACCATCCCGAGATTCTGATATCAAATAATTGATCGAGAAGGCACGTCTAATTTATAGCCGTTCCATTACGCCTTTTCCTCACCTGGAACACCAATCACGGCCACTTGATCGCGCAATAACCGGAAAACTTCTTTCTCTTCTGCCTATCAGATGCCACGGTGCACGCGTAAATTGCGTTTACTGTGGAAGATTCATTTATAACTTCATCTTCACGCATGAAAAAATTCTCCAGGATAGCTATTTCTCTTGCCTTATGTCTTCAGCTAGACATTAATTGAGACCTGAACATAAGAAGATTTCCATCTTTTCTTACAATATAACATTTTGTTTGCTGATTAATGAAACTTCAAAGTATTAAAATGAAAGTATCTATTTTGCTAACTAAATAATTCTTTTCTTCAAATTTTTATTACAGTAACTTACATTTTTATGTCTAATCTTCACTTATGAAATTTCATTTCGAATTTTTAATAAATAAAATCTATTGAATATAAAATAATTTCTGTATCTAATATCGCAAGAGGAATGTATCTTTCAACCTTCCAACTCTTCTCAACCTTCGTTTCACCATCTTCCACACCGAAGGACAATAAATTCAAACTTCACGTGCATCAATAATGAATTAAAAAAAATAACAATCCTATCCCTTCAAAAATTCGGTCTCCACTATTAAATTCCACATTTCCATTTCTATTCCACAATTTAGCCACACCGCGAAACGTTTAAATTTCGCAATTTCACCGCGAATTTACGACCCGCTATCAAGTTTATTCCATCAAACAGATGAAAACTACGAAACGAACGCAGCTCAGATCGTTCGTCTATCGCCTTATTACCCGTGTAGCATAAATTACGCCTATTCGACAGCTAAATATTCGCCGCTCCGGCCATCTTGATCCGATAAGAGGTGTCTCGCTATCGAAGTAACGATCAGCCAGGCCGAGTTACTTTACGACCGTGAACCAAACAGGGGAAACAGTTGCGTCTTCCTAGTTCGAAGGGGGCTGCTGCTGGATTCGATTTTATGTCGTCGTACTGTCAGGCTGTAAAATCACCGTACAACCTATCAGCGGCACGACTATTGTGAAGCGGTAACAATAAAATATTGAAATGAGCCGTGCTCGATGCACTTGACGCGGGTTAAACGCACTCGTACACACGATCAAAGGGGGAAAAAGAGACTCGTATGTACGTATGTGCGTGTACGAGGCCACGAGGCAACGGTTCTATTCACGTCACACAAGAATCAGCCTCTTTAGATTGTCTTTAATCGATCGTAAACGAGCCTCGAAAGAGAATCCCGACGCGCGCTGCGGATCAAACTAAAAGGCGATCTATGCCAGCCTGGCCGGTGACGTGGTCGTTAATAATTAATACTCGCTTTCGTCTTTCGTTTCAGTAATTTACCGCTGTAAATCGTCCAGGGTGCAAGAGGTAAAAGTTTGCATACAGCACTTGATTCTCGTTGATGCAGTTAATGGATGACTGATAGGTTCGCTAAATAAAAAATTGCGTACAAGTATTGATATTTCATGATTAAGTTCAGAATTGAATTTGACGGATTAAGCAGGTTCCTTTAATACAGACGAATCAGTGATTTTTCAAGCATGATTTGTGGGAACACATTGAAGCTCTTTCGTTTATTCACTAATTTCACGTGATCGAATAATTAGCATTTTACCGATATATACACCTGGATACTACGAGTTTCTTGCATACATCCTGCAAAATTTTTCACTGTTCCGCGATAGAAGTGTGATACCGAATACTGTACTTCATAATTTCTTCTTCAACCGTAGGCATCTCGAGATTCTAGCACACGATAGCATTCGCGAAGCTGCAAAGAGTACTGCGAGCGAGCCTGGAGGTTTCTGGCGAGCATTCTTGCGATACTTGAAGAAATTCGAATTACATGTTGAATTCCATAGTTAAATAGCACGAATTCATCATGATTTTAATATTCCTCCATCGATGAACTCTGTAGATTACGCTGAAGGAAAACTTTATCGTGACTAAACCATCGTCTATTTCTTCCAAAGAGGAGCATCTCGAATCCCGGTGAAAGTAGCTAAAAAGGAAGCGTCTCTGTTACCAATTTTTGGCCAGACACTTGACACCCGTGACAATCGTCGCGCCGGGCGTGAGGTCGCATCCTGCAGACGGCTTAGGAACGATTCACAGCAGCCTTCGAAGTTTGCCACCGTGGTGACAGATCGGAAACGGGCCGCAGGAGTGCGTCAAGTCGATAATGGCCTTTTTCCCCCAAAGTGGCTTGCACAGCATTCAAGTATCCGGAAATCTTTGATTGCCTCTGCCGGCGATGAGGCTCGGAAGAGAGAGAGAGAGAAGCTCTTCTCGCAGCACTTGCACACGTGACCACTTGAGATATTTCGCAAGTTCCCGCCACGCCACGGATGCCACGCTTCCTTTTCTGTCGTCATGGGAAAAGGTACCGACCAGCGGCTGCAGATTGTCCACTTCAAGTACTCCATTGTCTCCGGACAGTTTGGTATTTCCTTTAACACGTTTCGCTCAAGTGGCTGAAATACTGGCAGCACGTGTTTCCGAAAAAGGCAGTTATCGAGCGCGTGATTGCCGGAGGAGGGTGCCCTCGTAGGATGAAATTAGTTTCTCGAGTGATTTCGGAGGGAACAGGCATAAATTGTGAATTATAGTCTTCATACAGAAGTAGAGTAGGTATTGGTTCAGAGTTCGTGAGATTTAAGCTACTAATTAAAAAAGAAGGAATGTCTAAGCACTCAATATTAAAATTAGTACAGAAGACTAATGAGGGTTTTGAGACTCACTGCCTGGATTGTTCGAATTATTGATCGAAGCTTTCGGTTTCAACCCTTTCGTGATGAAAATATTTTTGATTTCTTGTAATATAAATATTTTCCTAAGAATTCCTTATTTTTCCACTGATCATCGTGTCTGTGATGGAAATTACATTGAGACGAATTTTTGTTCGAGTACTTAAGTACAAAATATGAGTCCCACTGGAAAGGGTTAAATTGTGCCCAATTATCTTTGCTTTCTATCGTCTCGTCAGCAAGAAGATAGCAAATAAGACAAAAAGATCGAAATTTTTCTATTTTCTTGCAGCAGAAGAATTAACAGTACCCAGTAAAAATAGTGCCTCGAGAGAGAAATCTCGTCGTGGTGCGAAATACGAAAACAAGGGTCGACATATTGGCGTCGGGGAAACGAATGGGATTCCACCCACGTAGAGGCACTTCCTGTTTCGAGCTAGCAAGGATATTTATCTATTTCTCGAAAACCCTTGCCTAAAGCAACACCTTAACGTACGAAAAGGGGCGCCTACGGAGACAGTGTATCTTCCTGCACATCTACTTGTCTAAATTCAAAACATATTCCCCGTCCCGTTTCCCTCTCCAGGGATCGGACGCAGTTTACAAACTACCTGCACATTCTTATCTCGCGACATCCTCTTCCGAAGGATCCTCCGTTACGACGCAATCGTCTTCACGCTCTCCAAGAGTTATCGACTCCTTCGACTCTTACCTGGCGCGCAGCTGGCGCGATCCAACGACTGATTGGTCAGGTGACGAATTGGGTGTGCTTCTTACGTTTTTCTTTTTCCTTTTTTCTTCTTCTTTATGCGTCTACTATACCCACCCGAGGAACCGTTCTCGAGTTCATTGTTTGGACACCGTCGGTGAAAACAACATTCGTCATGCATTTGCTAGCCTCCAAGTGAATTTACGGGGTTTTCTTTGAATTCTGCTAATGACGATGTAATACATTTATCGTCACCTTTATTTATTACGGGAAACAGTAGATATAGTGGGTGAAACACCTAATTCGCGCAGCTGAATTATTGAATTATTCGTTGGGTGAAACACTGTTGTGAGGGAGTTATAGCATGAAAGTTTGTACGTATTTTCTTTGTAAGTTGAGGAATTTTGAAAATTTAGAGGTCAACTCTACTCTTTCCACTGGAATTTTGCATTTTTCATGACAAAATTTCTCCTCATAGGGAATTCCAATACCTATATCAGTGTTGCAGAATTGCATGGCTTTGAGGGAGTCATAGCATAAAAGTATGTAGGTATTTTCTTTATAGGTTAAATAATTTTGAAAGTTTGGAGGTCAACTCCATTCTTTCCACTGGAATTTTGTACTTTTATGACAAAATTTCTCCTCATAAGGAATTCCAATGTTTATATCAGTATTGCAGAATTGTATGGTTTTGAGGGAGACATAACTTAAAAGTATGTAGGTATTTTCCTTTATATGTCGAGGTATTCTTAAAGTTTAAAGTCCAACTTCGTTATTTTAACAAGAATTTTGTATTTCATCCGACAAAATTCGAAAAATTTTGTATATCACTTCATCTCCCGTTTACTTCTCGTTTGTTAATTTTCGAAATGTCCTCACAGAGAGCTCCTCGTCCTCATAACCAATTCCAATGTCTCAATGTTGCAGAATTAACATTTCCCTCTTCCCCTCATTGCCTATTATCTATCCCTTCATCTTCACGTCTGAATCTCTCTCCTGGCACCTCTCGATAGTTCCACGAACACTTCCCTCAAATCGTTAAGCACGTCTCCATAAAGATGCTCTCGAAAAGAAACAAAAATCAACAGCAAAGAGCGTGCAACTTAAAAGCACGAGCTGCATTCTCGTTAGAAACGAAGTGATCCAGAAAAGAGCACCAGACGCCTATTCCACCCAGTGAGTTATCACCATTATTATTCCATGTTCATCGGTGTGCAAACAGCATCGAAGCAGACGATCTTTTCCAGCTCGCTTGCAAACTTTACGACATCCACCCACGTGGCCGCCGTACACTTTTCCTAGTATTTTCACACACACGTTGCTAAACTGGATCGATCACAGTCTGGGATCTATTCATCTCGATCGTTTTCCAACGAACTTTCCCGCAGAAAAGAGTAGCGATTCGCCTATTAATACGAATTCCGTCTATCGTTCCTCTCCTCCTCTCTTCTTCCCGCTATAATGGAACGATCATCGAAGAACTCGCGCGAGCTCAATCCCTTTTCTACACCCGCGAACTTTACGAGCGGATTATTCAAACGCCCACGCCGAAATGGTGGCGTTCTTCGATCCTCCGGCCCTCCTCCTATTTTCGTGCGTATACAGATGGCAGAGGCCGTAGAGCCGAGGTCTCGAGGGTGTGCTATCGTTCTGACTTCGGTCTGGCACCGTTCAGAAACATTGAAACGCGTTCTGCATTAAAATCCCGATTTAAACAGGGCTCGTTGTAAGCGACGCGACGCCTTCGCCGCGATCCCCCGGCGTTAGGAGCGATTTTAATTGAAAACTTTGTTCCGCGGGGGTTTAAAGGGGCTCAATTGATGGGCGAGCGTGTACCCGGAATAAGTAAATGGCAATTAAACTGCGCGGATTAAACGCTGGAACAGATTTTGCGATATTTGTGTATTACGTTGTAGTTAATCAGCTGTGTTCGTTAATTAATTGTACGCAGTTTCACGCGGCTGTTGAAAGTAGAAAATTAGTTGAATTGAAAGTGAAAGAGGTATTGGTGAACTGCAATTCCGTCATAGTGAACAGCTGAACCACGTCGTTTTATTTCTCTAACCGTAAAGTCACGGATAAAATGTCCTTTTTGTGAAATTTATTACGAATTTTTAAATTGCATCGACCACATGTTTGTTAGATAAATAAACAAGATAACTGTTGATTTGCGAGAAGATTGTAAAACTGGGAAAGGAAGAGAAGTCATAAGAAAATATATAAATCTAGTAGAGAAATTTTATTGGATAGTCTAGTGTGCTGTGAAATATTCAATATAACACCGATCTTGTTGCAAATTCTGAGAGGTGTCTGGAGAAATTAAATGTTTCACAGAAGAATCATTTAAACGCCCACGATAGGACAGTGACATGTTTCTGTCAGGAGAAATGGAAATTTTCGATAAATTTATTAATCTGTTTGGTTCACTCTCGTAGCGATAACAGTGAGCAGAAGTGCATGCGGATGCACGTGCGTGCAAATACAGTGCTTCAGTGGTACACTCGCCTAACAGGAAGCACCGTTTCATCGCCTACACTAATTCCCCTGTCGCTACTCTTGTCTTCCACGGTGAAATCCTTGATGATGTTGCCACGTATTTCTGCCAGAAGAGTGAAGTATTCACAGTTCGTTCGGCTATTCTTTCAGATAGACATCCGACAAGACTAGAAACAATAGAATTACATTCTATACGTCAGTATAATTCGCTCTTTAATTTATCATTTACCCGAGTCTTGATTAGATTCCGTCAGATTTGCATCAATGTCGTAAACAATTTCTTATAGGAAAATGTAAGTTCATATTGTAATAGAATGGAAGAATTTTTTGACTTGTAAATTGTATCAAAACAACTCAATTCAATTCTATCTCGTAGTAGAGGTTTGTACTATCTTCTGTAATAAATTTGAATTCAAACAATGAACAATCAATTTAACATTCACACACCTTTCCAATAAAAATCGAACTCTAAACTCATTACACTCACAATTGCAAAATTCCAACCCCTCAATTCTACCACAAAGATTCAATCCAACATTCCAAGAACAAGTAAACAATGTCAATTATACACTAAACCTTCTACATTCCTCTCAAAAACCCAACTCCACTCAACCATCACGATCAACGATCCATTCAACCCAATCAATATACCACAAAAAAAATTGTTGGACAACCCTCTCATCTTCCCTTAAAATTCAATCCAACATTCCACGAAAAACCAATAACTCCCAATATGACACCAAACCTTCCACATTCCCCCGAAGAACCCAATTGCTCTCCCACTCAACCGTCGCAATCAACGATCCATTCAACCTAATCAATCTACCACAAAAAAATTGTTAGACAACCCTCTCATCTTCCCTTAAAATTCAATCCAACATTCCACGAAAAATCAATAGCTCCCAACATCACACCGAACCTTCCACATTCCCCCGAAGAACCCAATTGCCCTCCCACTCAACCATCACAATCAACGATCCATTCAACCCAATCAATCTACCACAAAAAAATTGTTGGACAACCCTCCCATCTTCCCTTAAAATTCAATCCAACATCCCACGAAAAACCAATAACTCCCAATATCACACCAAACCTTCCACATTCCCCCGAAGAACCCAATTGCCCTCCCACTCAACCGTCGCAATCAACGATCCATTCAACCCAATCAATCCGGCAACAAAGAAAAGAAAATGAAAAAACGAAGAATCCTCACAACTGCCAATCAATCTGCACCAGAAAACAGCACCGTAACCACCCCCGTGGATCCAGAGTCCCCGGTAATAGAAAGATCAAGGAGGTCGCGCGCGTGATCCTCGCAGCCGTATCTCTGGCCAGCCCACGCGCTCTCTCGGTCGCGCGCTCCTCGCGCGTCTCTCCTATTTTCGTAGCAAGACGGATGTCAGGAGGCGAGAAGATCCCCGTGAGATCCATGCCCGTGTCAAGACACGCCGGAACGACGCGGATAGGCCTGTCCAGGGACACCGGCGGGACGAGACGTTACCGGCAGAGAGGAGGGGAGAGGCGCACAGGAGGAACGGGGTTGGAACATGTCCGGAACGAGAGAGAACGAGCGACACCCACGCAGGTGGGACCACACACGACGGTCCCGTCATTTGTTGGACACCGCATGGGCATGTCGTGTTCCACGGACACGGGGTACACAGCATTGTACACTTCTTGGCGCTGTCCCGCGGCGTGTCGTACCTTCAGCCCAGGCCTGTGCAACTTTATGGTTCGAGCGGATTGCGTGCGACTCGAATAGACATCGACACGTGAACCACCTAGCCGCGAGACCGATCGCTCTTCGGCGACCGCCGCGACGCGTCGCCTGCGATTCCGATTATTGGCTGTAATTGGAGGCTGAGATACGAGCGGCGTTTAGTTTAATGAATGGAAGTGTTGTACGGGTGTAATGTTCCCTCACCTTCTCCAATCGTCTGTGAGGATATGTGGGTAGGTAGGTAACGGGGAGAATTCTGGTTTGGTTTCGAGTATGTTGTTGTGTGATGTTCAGTTGACGATGCTTTGTAATTGAAATGTTTCGCTCAGTTTCAGACAATTGGAGCAACAGATTTGCAGGTTAGGAAGCGAGAATTTTTAAATAATTTTAGTAACTGAGCGAGGTCATGTGGAAGGTTTTTCTGCACTTTTTTACCCATTCAATTGCATTGAGTGACATTTATTTTTAAGGGAACGATGGAGGAATGTACACTGATTTGAGTTACCTTCCAAGGAATGTTTAAGTTCATAAATGACTGGCACCCTCGCTCTTTGAGCGCTAAATTAAATTGAATCACAAGAATTGTGAAACATTCTTTAGTTTTGAGTGTTCTATCACATTCCAACTCAAAATGTAACTCTCCAACAAACTCGCGAACAACGAATCCCCACAACTCCCATTATCACAACACCAAAATATGTCAATTCTACCAGAATTCTTCACTGGAAAGCAATTTCCAAGATTACCGACCGCAATCGCGTATCACAAAAGAGCAGTTGATCAAGCGGAATGAAGCGTTGAAGCGAGTACAGTTGAGCAGAAACGCAAGAACACTCGAAGCAAGAGAAGACGGACGCACAAAGAGACAGGGGTGCCACGAAAGGGGGAATGCGGAGAGATGGATGCACGCGAGGAGAGTCCCGCGCGCAAGCTTGACCCCTGGGATACGTTATTGATGGTGGTGCACCGAGAATGGTGACTAGATGGTAATTTTCGTGGGGGACAAAAAGGGACGACGGTATTCCGTGCGCTCGGTTCCCTCAGGATTGACGTCCTGACGCGCCAGGAATGTCGGATCAGCTCTGGATCGCTCGTAACTGACCATTAGAGCCACGATCGACGTCGTTCGATAACGAATCGACGATGAAAAATATCGTATATCGAGCGCGGCGAAGAAAATATATTAGAACGCGAACACGTTCGTCGAGAATTTCGATGAAATCAGAATCATGCTTGGCTACACCGTTACGTCGAAATTAACATTTCCGCTTCGCGAAGCGAGTCTCGGGAATCTTCCGAT